ATCTTCCATGCTTAGAGTGCCTGGTTTCCTCCCCCTTTTTGTGGGAAATCAAGTCAAATGTCTTAATCTTTTTGATGTGAACCTACTGTATACGGGTCAGCAGTACAAGTCAGCATAATGCATGTTATTGATAGCACAACATACTGAGAAACAAGAGGGGAAAGACCCAGGTAATGATATGTTTTCTAAGAAAACAGCACAGTGTACACAGAGCTGCTGCGCTCTGGTTACAGAGGCTCGCTGCCTGGAAGCTACTATTTCCATCAGACCGCTAACAGCTGCTCTCTGAAGTACCGTGTAATCTAGGAATTCACTACTCTGCTATTAGTAGAACACAATGGAGGCTGGTCGCTATGAAAAACCAGATAAAAAACATGTACAGCAGACATGAGCAGGGAGCATTTGTGACACTGCAACAGAGTGAATGTAGGGCACACCACCTTATGTTCAGTGGTGAGATTTCAACGTGGAAGAAAGTGACCACTGCATAGATCATCTTATATCTTTATGTACGAGCTGCTCCAAACCAATCGGCCCTACAGAGGGATTCATAAAGTTCCTCTACCAAAGTAGACCCTCAATAGCTGAGATTAAATGGACATCGTGCACAATTTCTTCTTTTTAGCAAGCTGACATCGGCTCTGAAAATCCAGGACCAGTTTAACTTGAATACCCCGATTTGCTTAAACTTTAAATTAGTGTCTTCAGTCGAGAAACAAGAAATTGAACTGAGTTCTAACCTCATAATTTCTGCTCATCATTCCCTCCATTATCTTTAGGCTTAAATAAATGTTTGCATTTAAGAAGGAAGTTGATGGTGTAACTTGGGGCTCTGGGGAATAATGCCACTAAATGACGAATGACAAATAATTGTTAGTTTGAGTCATATTGAATTACACTAAAATATTCCTGCAAAAAGCTTCCACATGAGATTCTTAACTGAAAAGTCAAAATATGTCTTTTCTGACTAATGATGCAGTTTGAGGTAGAAATTAAGTAGCTTATGTAGTATATGATGTGCTTTAGTATTCATTATATCAGCAGTAGGGCGGCAGTAGTTCAGTCTGTTAGGGACTTGGGATCCGGAGGTCGCCGGTTCAAATCCCAGTGCTGACCAAGTCTGGAAATTGGTGTGGTAGCTGGAGAGGCTTCCCTGAATAACCCCCACCAGCTCAGGAGGGATCACTGTGGGCAGCCTCCTCACTCCGTCATCTCTCCATTAGTGCATGTCCACAGGATCCTGTTTGTGTATTTCAGTCTGTGTGTGTGTACACATAATGTGCTGATGCTAATGCTCATTTGCGTAACGTAGTATTACTGATCAGTTTTTTTCCAATGTTTAATGTAAACATGTTTATTTAAGGCGCTCACACTGACTGTTGCTGCTTTGATTACTGTTTATTTAGGTGTATACCCGACCCCTGCAAATCTCCCCTGGTGGATAATAAAGTATTGTATTGTTTTGTAAATTATTGGTAAAGTAAGAGTGCCATCATCATCATCTCTTTGTGTTGTTGAATCGTGTCACAAAAGAATCTCATCTCCTGAAAGAACACAGCTGCACTATTAATTGAGACACTTTTCTTTATTCGATGTCACGCTTACAGGTGTTAAAAAAAAAAGGATTGTCTGTCACACAGGTCGTCGTCCTATGTGAGAAAAATTATCATGTTTCAAGGCAACAAAGCGCCATCTTCTGGGAAGTCATGAGAATGCAGTAAAAGCGTAAGAGAGCTAAAAAAAAAAGTTAAAGGAAATATATATTTTTTTAATAACAGCCTGTTTTGTACATAAGTTGCTCAAGTGCTTCTTTCTGCTTCTTTTCAGTGTACATTTACACAACTTAAATCTCCTCTCACCAATAAAATAAAGAATGGAAAACCTTTTTTTACCAAATGTTAAACTTAGAATGCATGAAAATACGTTGACATGTATAAACACTGGGACTTTTCCAAGACATTATTTCCTCTTTTTAGTCCATTCAGCCAGTGTTTGTAGTTTATTTTTCCTCCTCTTCCTGGTATCCATCAGTCTTCATGTCGTTCAGACCGAGGTCTTCGTTCTGCTCAAACGTGCGGGTGTACTTCTCTATGGTCAGCTCAGGATCCGGGTCAGGCGCGTACACGTTCTGCAGGTAGCTGTTCCCTGCCGGGTCATCCAGAACAAAGTGGACTTTCATCTCTCCGGACATGACTTTATCGAGCTTCTCCCCAAACTCTCTCAGCTTCTGCATGCGGTCTGTGGAGCAGCTGTCCCCGCTGATGAAGGGGTTTTTGGAGACGGTCAGATCTTTGATGTCCTTCATGAGCCCCTCTAAGGTGGTGAACTTCCGCCCACAGTCGCCATGCCCACCTCTAACTCCAGCTCTGGGATGAGGATGGCGCACGTCTCCGATTTGAGGACGTCTCGAGTCATGTCTGACTGGTCGGTGATGTTCAGGGTGATCCTGGTGCCCAGCTCCTCCGTGGCACCTCCCGACTTCACCTCGTTGGTCCGGTGGCCACAGCTGTCACAGTTCGTCGCCATGATGATGACCTCCTTGAAGTGAGGGATCTGGACCATCTTCATGTTGGTCGAGGCCGGCGCGTTGCACTCCGGGCAGTTTGTGTTGAACACCAAAACCTCGTTTCTCATGGCGTCGATGTCGTTTCCAGCCGGCTCTTCATCGAAGTCGTCGTCGTCGGCTCGTATTCCCAGCAGCACGTCCTGCTGCGCCGACCTCTTGAAGCGGGTCACAGCGAGGGCCTCGTCCTTCTGCGGGGCCACAGGGTTCTCCACGAAGCTGTTCCCGGACGGGTCCTCGACCACCAGCGTGAACTCCTCCTCCACGTCTTTTAACTTCTTCAGCCTCTGGATGAACTCGTCTATCTTGTCGGCCACGTCAGGGTCGGTCGCTCTCCTGATTGGCTGCTCTTGCTCCAATCCCGAAACTGCTCGGTCCAAAAGCCCCTCAATGGTGGAGAGGGCACCTTTCTGGGTGAAGGGAGGGATTTCAAAATCCAGCTCGGGGATCCTGGTGGTGGCGCTGTCTGACTTCACCACCTCCCGGTCCAGGTCCTGTTTGGATTTGACTGTGAGTGTGTAAGAGACGCCCTGGTCCTGGATCCGTCCCGCAGACTGGATCTCGGTATCTGACCAGCCGCAGTTCGCGCAGCTGAACGAGCTGACGATGACTTCTTTAAAAAACGGGATTTTAGTGAGCAGTAATCGCGTCGTACCGTTCAGGTGGCAGTTCATACACATGCTCTCGATCTCTGTGGGCTCCCAGTCTGCGTCGTCAGCGCCGATATCCTTGAACACGCTCCTTCCTCGGATGTGTTCCTCGGAGATAACAGACATTTTGTCGGATAAATGTCTCCCTCAGACAGACTGAACTGTTTCTAAACGCCGCCGTCGTCGTCGTCGTCGCTCACTCTCGGGTGTAATGTGCTGGAAGTCTCTAGAAAACACACACAGCCCTAACTCACCAGCACACGCCCGGTAAGTTATGGAAGCGCTTTAACACCAACTTCCGCATCTTCTTCTTCTACTGTGGAGGAGTCCCAATTGGCGTCATTTGCTGCCCCCTTCCGATTGTCTCCAGTATCACAGGGGCGATCACGCAGGCGGAAACTGTTTTCAATTTGACTTTTAATCATAAAATAAACAGCCACGTAGATTCAATACAACTTTTGATTGATTTTTCTGATCTAAAATGTTGTCTTCTGTTTCATTTACTGCGTTTACATTAGTTGTTTTCTTCATCACTGTTTAAAAATAATTAAAAATAAATTATTTTGCGATCATTTTTTAAATTGTTTGTCATTTACAAAAAAGAAGAAATAAAAACATGTGGTTTCATCGACAGCCAACAAAGATACAGGAGAGAGGGATCATGTGCATTCTTTATCCCTTATGGATATCAAAATGGAGATAAAGACAACATTTTTAAAAAGAGGTGCAAACAAACATTAAATTGTCTCTCTCCCCTGGATTTTTTTTATTTTTATTAAACCTTTATTGAACCAGGTTGGCCCCCTTGAGATTGAGAACCTCTTTTCCAAGGGAGACCTGACCAAAACAGTCAGCAGCAAAAACACAGAGTTACAGACAGAGACACAAATGGAGACAAAGTAGGCCGACAATTTACAAAATGCTAAAGTTTGCATTAAAGGAGAACCATCTATGAGTCAAATCTGGGAGTCAGTAGATCAAGCAGTCAGGCTAATCGACATCCTGTGGAATCTGTTTCAGGTATTTCATTTTTGATTTAAAAATACTTAAGGACACCCGCTCTTTGAGTTTGAAGTCATTCTGAAACAGATTCCAGGCTGAGGGTGCAGAGTACCCAAAAGCCCTTTTTCCAATTTCTGTCAGAGCGTTTGGGAAAGAGAGCATAAAGAGGTCCTGAGGCCGTGAAGAACAGTGTCCTTGTATTTTGGTATCTTTAATATTTGTATTAGTGGCCTTGCACTGTATATTTGTCCAGTTATGCAGACATGTTAAATCATTAGAAGGATATTTGTTTTAATTGATATAGCTTGTAAAATAGTGTTCCAAAGTACCTGAAGAAAACAACAAAACATCAAAAATATAAAATTCTACTCTTATTTCTACAATTTTATTTTCTTAAACTTTGCTTGGAAACTGTAAATGAGGCTTTTTCTTATAAAATGTGTGTATGCTTTTTTTGTTTCTTTTTTTCATATTGCCACTTTTTATTTCTGTAATGTTGAATTTTAGATGATATTTTTTTGTAATGTTGCTGCAGTCTGTTTGGACTTTGACTCTCCTCACATACAGTGGTACACACATGATATATCCATATATAAAATCATTCTTCTACAAGTTTAAGGAAAGTAAAAAAAATATTCAGATTTTATAATCTTCTGTTTTTCCAGGTTCTTTTTTCTGAATTTAGAATATTTGAGTTATTCCTGATATACCCCAACTCAAAGAAAAACACAAGTTGATATTTCCAAATCAAGTGATTGTTATCGTGGTTTTCTCTGAATGAATCACTCAGGCCTCATGAGTCTTTCTCTGCCACAGGTACATGTCCATAGTCAAAGGAAACGGCGCTCTCCCACCTGAAGACCGACTGCTCAGGTTCCTGGTCGACAACAACACGGACGCTGAGGAGACTGTGCAGTGTGCAAACTGTGACCGGGAAAGTAACAAGAAGGTATGACGGGTTGTTACTCGGGCAAAGTCAAGACAACAGTTCCAAAAAAGGTCTTACTGAATTAATTTATATTTTATTCATGAAAAAGACAAAAGGAATAGATGAACATGTCTCGTATATCTTGTTTGGTTACTACTTCTTTCTGTTTTTTACCTGTATTGTTGGATACTTTGATGTAAGGGTTACTGCCCTATTTTTGTTACTTCAACTTTGAAAATGCTAATTTAAGAGAGTGGGGAAAACAGCTTGTTGCAAACAGACTGATTACTAAAGGGAAAAGTTGCCATTTGACTCTTAAATTTTCTTTATTTAAGGTAGAGGAGTCTTGTTGACAGACAAAGGAACACAATGAATTATGATACTAGATGTGTTTGTCATTTTAATTGAAGATTTTTTTCTTAAATCAATTATTTTTTTGGGGGAAATCGGTGCTATTCAGTCTTGGATCTCAATCTTCCATTGCAAACTGTCATAGTACCAACAGGGGGAGCCATATTGAAACACAATATTGGAAAATAGCGTACAGTATACCATACAGATGGTCTCAAGACATGCATATTTTTTTTAGTGGGAAAGTTTTTTTTTTGTAGCTTTAAACTAATTAAAACATCAAAAGTGTGCCCTACCTTAATGCATTCTGCGTTGTCTTTGCTCATACAGGACGCAGGAGTGATGTACTTCTGTAACACCTGCATCCAGCCTCTGTGCAGCACCTGCAGGGAGCTCACCCACAAAGCCAGAATGTTTTCTCACCATGAGATCGTTTCTTTGGCCAAACGCACCAAAGCCAAACACAGGAACTGCTGTGAGTGTTACCTGTAATCATTCCTGATACCTTACTGCGCTTTATGACACCTGTTTAGAGGAAAGTGTTGTGTCTCCACAGCTCTTCACGATGAGCCCTACATCCTGTTCTCCAAAGAGAAGAAGTCCATGCTCTGCATCAAGTGCTTCAGAGACACACAAGTGTGAGTGAACCCTCTACACTTATAATGTGACTATCAGACGTTCTCACTCTTCACCTCTGCATGCTAAACTTGCTTGCGATTGTTTTGAATGCAGGGAGAGTCGGACTCACTGCATTGACATAGAGACGGCTTACGTGCAGGGCTGTGAGATGCTGGACCAGGCCGTGCTGGTGAGAGAGTCCAGTCTGTTCATCTCTACACATTTAGCATCATGAATAATTCAGGCACTCATTTGGGTGATGATAGGGTGCAGAGTGGTCCGTGTAGCTCATCACATTGCAATTTGAATACATAAACATATGAATGAGGTCTATTTGTTCTGTGAGAGTTTGAGCTTTTCTGATTAAAATACAAATATCATCGCTGCTCACGTTGGATTTTCAATCTGTGTGTGGACCAGATATAAACAGTACAGCTTCAGATAGACATCTAAACCACAAAAAGAGTTTAAAACAGATTTGATTGGACGTAGATATTCTTTTAAATGAGCCTTACCAATGTTTTACATGTTTTTATAGACAGAAAACGTCACTTTGTCTCAGCTTTGAGACTGCATAAACCCTATCCAGGCATTGTGACAGATCAGCAGCATGTATGACATTTTATTGACTGACAACCTCATCCTCCTCCTCCTCCTCTTCCTCCTCCTCCTCCTCCTCCCCCTCCTCATCCTCCTCCATCCTCCTCTTCCTCCTCTTCCTCCTCCTCCATCTGTAGGTGGTGAAGGAGCTGCAGACATCAGCTCGAGAGGCGATCATTCTGCTGAGAGCGATGATTGGAGAAGTGTGTCTGAACGTGGAGGAAGAGGAGAGTGCAATCTGCTCTCTGTTCAACAGCCTGCAGGTTGTATAACGATCCCAATGTGGGTTTTTTTTTCTCCCATAAACACACCGTGAGAAGAGAGACTCCTGCATGATAACCCCAACCTACAAATTAGACATTTAGTAAGATAAAGCACAATGAAGAGTCCCAACTATGTCAATCCCTCCCCCCCCGCTCTAATACTTCCTGGTTGTTTTAGTACAAAAGAGAATTATGGATCATTTAAATGTGTTGTCATTATAAATAACTCTGTTGTTAGTGTTATAATAATAATCACTTTATTTAAGTGGCAATTTTCAAAAAAACAAGTTACAAAGTAAGTGAATAATAGTCTGAGTTAGATGTCATACAAACATCAATGAAAACTTAATAAAACATAGTACAGACATGCATCCATACATTTAAATCACTCTAATTATTTATATTTGAAAAATATATATAAACTGAAATTTTTGCGATTAGTAAATGAGGCATGGGTATCTCAGTCTGTTGGGATTTGGGTTGGGAACTGGAAGGTTGCAAGTTCAAGTCCTGGTTAAGACCAAGTCAGGAAATCGGTCTGTTAGCTGGAAGAGGTGCCTGTTGATTTTCAGAGTGCTGCTGATGTGCCTTTAAGCAAGCCCCCCCCCCCCCCCCTCACTCTGACATCTCTCTATTAGTGCGTGTCCACAGAATCCTGTGTGTGTGTGTGTGTGTGTGTGTGTGTGTGTGTGTGTGTGTGTGTGTGTGTGTGTGTGTGTGTGTGTGGCATGTTCAACAACAGAGCGTGAAATTGAGTTTCCCCTCGCGGGATTAATAGAGTACGTCTTTAAATGACCAATCTCTGACCTCTGTGTGCTGCACGTGCACTGTTGAGCCACCAGATGTCTCTGTTTTCTTAATTTTGAGCTCGTAGATTTCCCTGGTATAGCCTAATGAAGCGTCAGTAGAGCAGACGTCACATTGTGGATTGTACGCCTCTTTTCTCTTCACAATGTTGAAAAATCATTAGGTATTAGAGAGCTCAAGGCCATTTTCACAGCGGGAATTAAAGAGGCCGTTTTTCTCTCTGTTCTCTCCTGACAGGAGAAACTCGCAGAGAGGAAGAAGATCCTGCTCAAAGCAGCTCAGAGGTAAAATAAGACTTATATCAAGATTTACACTTCTTTCCCTAAGCTTGAGTCACAATATTTACTATATAGCCTAATGTTATTATCCTGCTGCGACTGCGGGTCTTTTCATAGTTTTCCCATCATGCTGTGGTGAAAAGCAGAACCATAATTGCTGTGGAATAATCTCCCCTTCTCACCGAACACATTTTAGAAAAGAACAAAATACAAAACACTTTATTGTTTACTTTTTGCATGCGAAATGCAGGAATTTGTCTTTTTACCTGCATGTGCACCACTCAAAACACAAAGTGGACATAACAGAGGTGCATTAAAGGAGGACTAATTGGTGAATATTTCAGGGTCAGTTAAATATAATATAAAGTGCCATGTGGAGGATGAGGTCGCAGGCTGACTATGATGAAGATATTTTGTGGTAACTGGATGATTTTTACTTTAAAGGTCACAAATTTTCCTCCTTTTCAACCAGTTTAAATAAGTATCAGAGCTCCCCAAAACATGTGTGTGAAGTTTTTTGTTCTAAATCCACTCTGATCCTGTATTTGATCATGTCTATAAACCCCTCTATTTCAGCCCTGCTCAGAACAGTCTGTTTCTGTATCTGTACCTTTAAATGTAAATGAGCTGTGTCTGACCACCCCCCCTCCCTGGAAGGTTCTTGGGTGTCTCTGGTTTTCTCGCTCCATGTCCTATTGTTTAAGGTGAGAAGGCAGACTCAGAGGGCAGAACAAACACCTAGCTGTGGGAGTGTCACCTAGCTGTGGGGGAGGGGTTACTGCCCTTTGTGATGTCATGAAGGTAAAATCTCCAAACGGCCTGTTTGAGCACACATTTTCTGAAAAGTGGAGCAGGCAAAAGACGGAGAGGATGGACTTTTATCATCATCGGGGGGTTTGTAGACAGACTAGAGACAGATATTAGAGTTAGAGAAACATGGAGAAGCTTGGTGCTAATTTATAACCACTTCAGTAGAATTACAGAGTTTGAGCCAGTGTTTGCAGTTTGTCCCTGAATCCAACTCAAGAGTAAAAATATAATAATTTTCAAATATAGATTTTATAATTTCCAGCTGTTGCTGAAAATATGGAAACAGACTGTTGATTCCTGACATGTTACATAAAACCAGAGCACTTCTAGCACCTTCGATTTCATCGACTGAAATGTTTTGGTTTTTAAGAGCAGACTTGTTGCAGTCTCCTACTCTGTTTGAACCTGCTTTTTCAAAACGTAGGCTGTGAAGCTGTTCCAGAAATCACAGAAACAGGATGATAATGATATCAATTCATTTAGAATTACCCCCACCGAGAATCAAGCCACCCAAAATAATTACAAATTCTTCCTGAATCCCCTCAGCAATCATTAAAGTTTGATTTATTGTCGTCTAAGGTTTTAAACTAATTAGGTTCGATGATCAAATTATGGCACATCAATTTAATATTGCACAAGATTAATGAATAATTCATGGATTTTGAACATAAAAAGACGAAAAAATGGTTCTTCATCTCTGTTCTGTCTGATCATGTTCACACTTCTTTTCAAAACAGGAGGACTTCCAAATGTACAAATCTGAGAGGGAATCATTTCCAGCATTGTCTGTGTGTGCGTGTGTGTGTGTGTGTGTGTGTGTGATTGAATGGGAAACATTTGTGCGTTGGTGAGTGAGTGAGTGAGTGAGTGTATCGTTTTGCACTCTGTGGGGATCTTTAATGAGATTTTTCATGCCCACTGTCCCCCATCTCTCTCTCTCTCTCTCTCTCTCTCATTGCCTGGAAGTTGTCCAGGCTATGTTCCCGGAAGGGTGTTAAAGTCTATTTATGTCGGTCTTTGTGCGTCCGCCCTGCATGTGTGTTTGTTGCACAGGGAGAACACAGATAGATTAGCTTCTGGAAATATGGAGTATGTTGTTTGTGGTTGCACCTCCTCCTCTGAGTATTTCAGCAGGCGAGGATGTGAAGGTGTAGCGTTACATGCTTATGCGTCTCTGTGTGTTTTTATATGTGTGTGTGTGTGTGTGTGTGTGTGTGTGTGTGTGTGTGTGTGTGTTTGTGTTTGCAGTCAGCATGAGGAGAAGGAGAAAGCACTGAAGGAGCAGCTCTCTCACCTCACTGCCCTCCTGCCGACCCTGCAGGTAGAGAACAACAGTGACATGATAACGAATAATAACTTGAAATGATTCCAGCGGCATCTTTGAACCAATAAGAACTCAGATCCTTCACTGAAGTGAGAGTACTGCATTTCAAATCCATATAAGTGAGCATTAAAGAAGTTTGTTCAGTCATGTAACGAGACTGCTTTAAAAAAAATAATTTAAAACTTCCAATCAATAAATTCCAATTTCAGACGACCCCATTTTAATTCCATGCGACTGTACATGGGGTCGGGACCCCAATGTTGGGAACGCCTGCCTGAAAGTTGCTCTCGGGTTTCACTGCTCACATTTCACAGACGTCAAAATGTCACTGACAGTACTTCAAACCAGTGTATTGTGTATCAGAGGGTTATTATTGTTCCTTTTTATGCATTTTATCTTTAAAGGGACCACACAGTATTAATCTAAATGATGCCATGTGATGCATTGTACCAAAGTTAGCTTAGAGCTAGTTTTAAACGGCAGACCCTATGCTGCATTTACTTTCTTAATCTGATAAATACATGCAGATGTAAACCAAGTGGAGGAAAATAACACTTTTTCTCTGTTTAATTTGGTGCAGTAGAGGTATGAAACAGCACAAAATGCTAACTTAAATGTGCATTTATTTCGACCACCTGTCGCCTACATTTATACTTCTGCCTAGGGGTAGTTTGACTTCACAGCGTTGTTACTCCAGGGTGCATTTCTTATTTGTTAATTGCCTATGCCTTTATGAAAACGATGATGTACTGAGTGAGCAGTCGCAGGATGAATGCAATCTCAGTCTGACGGTGTCTCGTCCTCCCTGCAGCTTGTTTGAATTGGATCCTTTTAATCTCTGGTGTTTTTAGGTCCACCTCGTCACCTGTTCGGCGTTTCTGAGCTCGGCCAACAAGTTTGAGTTTCTGGACATGGGTTACGTGAGTGCAGCCGCTTAAACTATGGACTATGTTTAATTTATGTGGGAATTCATCACAAGGATGAATGTAGATTCACAGTGCTGCAGTGTAAGAAGAGGTGGTGAGTACTGACTGTGTAAATGTATTAAAAATCTATTTTCAGTGGTGCTTACACCACTGTATCTGCTGTATGTACATCTTAAGTAACATAGCTGGTGTTTAAATGGAGGCTAAGTCTGAGGCTGTCCGTGTGGTGTGAGCGAGGTGAAACAGGTCACTTATTCACAGACGGATCTTTTTTTTGCTTACGCAGCAACTCATGGAGCGTCTGAAGAGGATTGTGAAGCTCCCTCATCGACTGAGACCGGTGCAGAGCAGCAAAGTGAGTCCAAAGCAGCCCTCATGCAGAGCTGCAAAAGGTTACACTCAGAATGAAATCTGCTGCAGTGATTGTTTCATTTGTTCCCGGTGCACTTTCACCAGTTTTTTTTTTTTTTTTTCATCTGAGGCCCCAAAAGCCCCAAACCAATTTTCCTCCTAAGACAGTCAAGCTCCTGGAGTTGTAATAGGAGCTTTATTCAGTCATTTATCAGGAGCAACACACATCCGTTTACATCAGTGTGGGCGAGTTAATGTTAGAGTTCAGAGGAAATGAGAGAGACAAAAGTGACCCAAGTGACCCAAAGCAGTGACCCAAAATGTGCGAATTTTGCAACGACAGTAGGAAACCTCCCTAAGGGGCCACCATCTGACAGCACTCACTCTCGTTGCCCTGCTAAGCGTTGCATTATTGCTGTGAAAACCAAAGTTTGTCAATGAGAGTCAATAAATTAATAAACAGGATGAATTATCTGTCTTTAGGAGGAAAAAAAAGAAACTGGAAAAAGAGAAGTAATTGTCGGGACACTGGCAGACATGATGGGGATGAACACTGGTTGGAGGCCCCCAATTGGTTTTTGCAGAGGGCCCAAAAAAACTCTAGAATCGCCAGTGCAAACAGAACTACATCAAAAGACATGTTTGAGGGGGAGGCAGTCGCTCAGCCTGTAGGGACTTGGGAAGGGAATCAGAGGGTTGCCACTTCAAGTGCCGTTGTGGGCCAGAATATGGACGTTTTTCCGGTCGCTGGAGAGGTGCCAGGTCACCTTCCAAGAACTGCTGAGGTGCCATTGAGAAAGGCACTGAACCCCCAACAGCTCTTGCGCTCTCTCTGTGTAGCAGCCCCATTCTGACAACTCTCCTTTAATGCATGTCCCCAAGGGGACTAAAGAAATGAATTCATGATTTCAGAAAAGTTAGCAGGGAAGTGTTTTTTTCTATTTATTCCCCTTTAAGTTTAGGATGATGGATGTCATCATATTGATCTTATTTCTTTTGTTTTAGCTTCTATTTTTATCGACATATGTAGGGTCATTGTACAAGAATAGACCTGAACTCCTGGCTTTAATTTGAATTTCTGTCCTTCCCTTAAAGCAATGCCCCACTCTTTGACTTTATTTCTGTCCGTCTTCAGATCAACACTGACTACAGGAGTGAGTTTGCCCGCTGTCTGGAGCCGTTACTGCTGCTCTGTCAGCGCTGCCCTCCGTCTGTTTCCGGATCCGCAGGTGCTGCGACGAGGTGAGATCATTAACCTGCTGCCAAATATCCTTCACATGTCATCACAAGAGCGATCCCTTTTCCTCTGAGGTTTTTATTTCACAATGAGCCCGAACATTACCACACATGTTCTGGATCCTTCCAAGAAAGCAGAAAGTCTGGGAAGAAAATGTCACACTTGTGAAGCATCCAAAGTCGAAATCCCCAAATGGTTTGCGAGTACAGATGGTAGACAGCGATGACTGCGGCGAGAGGCGCCATGCTGAGTCCCACTATGGAAGTTATTCTGTCTGTCTGCGAGCTATGTAGTCTGATATGTTTATATAACTCACCTTGCTGCACGCAGGCACGGAGCGAGGCATTGACCCAGATTTAGAAAGCTCTGGTTTTGTTGTGGTCAGGGCAGGAAACAACAGATAACCTGATAACATGTATGAGTGAGTGTGAGAGGTTTGGAGCTTTTTATATTTTGGATCACTTAGATTAAAGATGATGCATTTAGGGTTGTCACAATAACTGATCTCTAAACCTCTTTAGGATAACATCAAATGATATCAACCTGTTCTGATACAACTGCAACAAAAATAAGTCCTAGTCCCACAATATTTGGTAATATATTGTTTTTATTAACCCAACACATTATGCAAACTCAGGCACATTGTCTAAATTGCACCGATACAGTACGTGGACAACCTTTCGGTACGATTATGCAAATTGCCAACATCTGTGCAATCTAGACACTGCTCTTTCTCTTTCCCCACAGCTTTATGTTAAAAAATCACAGCGTCTACTGTGGGGGACATCTAAAATGTAGCGTACCATACTGTATCGTACCCTATTGTACGGCATTGTATCGCACTGTATCAGACCATATTGTACCCTGTCGTATCGTATTGTATTCCTATCGTAACGTAATGTATCGTATCCTATCATAACGTATCATATCTTCCTCTATCGTATCTTATTGTAACGTATCGTATCATACCGTCCCCTATCGTATCTTATCGTACCCTATCGTAACGTATCGTACCGTATCGTATCGTATCGTACCGTACCGTACCGTACCGTATCATATCGTAACCCTATCGTAACCCTATCGTAACATAACGTATCATATCGTACCCTATCGTAAGGTATCGTACCGTAACGTATTGTACCGTCACGTATCATACCGTCCCTTGTCGTTTCTTATCGTACCCTATCGTAACGTATCGTACCGTACTGTAATGTATCATACCGTCCCCTATCGTAACGTATCATAATGATTGTACGTATTGTATCGTATCGTACCCTATCATACCGTATTGTAGCGTATCCTATCGTATCGTACCCTATCGTATCTTATCGTAACGTATCGCATCGTAACGTATTGCATCGTAACGTAGCGTACCGTATCGTATCATAACTTAAAACATGTGGTATGGAAAAGCAGCAGAAAATTTGACAACCTTAGTCGCATTACATTAAGATTTGGTGATGCTGGAAAAGCAATCAATTTGTCAATGCTGAATAGAATTTTTACTTCATGGATTCTTTCATGAACGACATCAAATAAACAACTTTTATTTGACAGCCCAACATCAGAACAAAGAGCTTTGTCCTTTCCTTCCCCACGTTCCACTTATCCCAACTGTTCACAGGTCTTTAAGCCCAACCGCTAATGCCAAACATACTGACAACTCTCTCTTCCAACTTGCTTAGCGCCCTGCCAGTGCAAGACGCAGAGTGGGCAGAGGGATCGGTGGCCGCCGGTCTGGCAGGCTGGCACTATTTTTATCATAATTTCACAGAACACTGCAGGATTCATCTGGAAGTTGGCATGCAGGAGGCGGACGGGCCGCTTTGTTCCAGGCGGGCTCGCTGATGTCACAGCTTTAGTTACGGGTGAAGTCTTTAGTTGGCGTCAGTGATGGAGACGGAGGCTGGGTGTGCAGAGGATGACATGTGCAGAGAGAGGGAGACGTGTTTTAAGCAGGTCTGATGTTGCATCAACGCAGGGCGAGAAGGCAAGGAGTAAGCGCTAACCAAAACGCAGGTAAATTTTACTATTTTATAGTCACTGCAGCTGATTCTGTTGTTTGAACTGGACTGATCTCATATTGCAGTAGGCTATGTAGCTTTTGTGGGTTTTTTAATTTTTGTTTTGTATAGTGATTGTAGTTCAAGTAAACACTGCAAAACTCAAATCTTACAATGCGTGTTTGTCTACATTCTTGTCAAAAATATTCCTATAAGCTAGATTTACCTTACAAGCCAAAAAAAAACATTTTTTTAGGATATTACAAGAAATAATGAGGCCTGAATTTCTTGTAATGAGGAAAAAATATCGTGCAGTGCAGCAAGCTAAACCTGCTTGTTAAGTTTTTTTGAGTTAAGGCATTACATGTCGTTTCAAGAAAGAGAAAAAAAGACAAATACACCTCACAAGATTTGAGTTTTTACAGTGAAGTTGGGATCAGAGATAGAGCTGTACTCAGACTTTCTACGCACTTACACGAACTTCTGTTGTTGCCATCTTGACACTTGAAGATGATAGCTGCTCTACAAGGTGCTTGACACAAATGTACGAGTCCAATCTTTACACACAGAGGAGGAAATTAGCATTTTTGTGTGGTCTGTTTGTAAATGGCTGACTGTTTTGTGATTAAGAATACCGCCCTCATTGTTCAGTCTGTTTCTTGTGTTAATTCATCTCATTTGTCCTCCTTACCGTCTAAAAGCTCCTTCCCCACTTGTAAGCCTCCTGTGCTGGATTGATCCTGTGCAGGGGATTGGTTAACGTCCAGCTGACCATCCTTTTCTTTTCAAAACAAACTCTCTCAGAGCTGAAGTGAAGTTTGCAGCTGTCTTCTCTCCTGCTGCTGCTGCTGCTGCTGCTGCTGCTGCTCTGCTCTGCTTGCAGAGCCTATAATTGGTTGTTGTGGGATCCCACCTGAATGCTCAGTGGACACAACATTCATATGTCAAAGTGGAGGGGATGTACTCACATATATGGCTTATTGTTGAATGGCCTCGGGGCAGTAATGCTGCTCCAGGCACGGAGCCAGGACTTCGGTCTTCCTGGAGCCGAGATAAATGTGTGTTTATCTTGTTGTAATGTGGACACATACCTCAGCACTGCTGGTGAATGTGATGCAGGAGAGATGTGAGTGATTTGAGCGACGGCGAGTGCAGAGATTTACAGTCAACACAAGATATATTTAGATGTACGTAACCTTTATTTAATCAGTTTGAACAGATGAGTTTTGGATGTCTCTCTAGAGTACATGATTGGCCGGAAAAAAAGAGAAAACAGAAAATACAACAAACTGGGAAATTAAATGTACGTGCAAGCAGTTAAAGAATATCTGGTGTGAGTACTTTTAGAAGTTGGACGTCTCTATCACACATGGCACGATTGATTAAGGATAAAACTGACAGTAAAACTTGTAAACGAAAAAACAAACAGGAAGACAAGTTGCATGAGAAGAAGGTTTAGATTTACATCTTTTAAATAATTGATGAGTCAGCATTCAGCAGAAACCCAGAAGTTACAGCTTTACGGCTGTGGCTCATTGTAGGTCGTCTCTCAACTGGAAGGTCGAGGGTTTGATCCCCAGCAACAATTAGAGCTCAAGTGTCTTGTGTTGACTTCAAATTGTGACAGTAGAGCAGATAATAAGTTATGGTTAGTAAATGGAGTGAGCTGAAGTAGTAGAAAATCTAGACGTGGTTTCCAGAGTGCTTGCACAGTTTGCGTACCATTTCCATCAATAACAGAAAGTTGTGGTTCCTGGTTAAAATAAATAATACATGCAAGTGTGTTGCACTAGTTGTTTTAAAAGTGCAAGCATACATGTAACATATTTCTAGTCCAAACAGATGACTTCAGGTTAAGTTAAACTCATTCAGAATGAGGCCCTAATAGTCTGAGGTGCAGAGGAAACGTTGCTGTTGACATTTTATCGAGGGATTAGTTATTGTTTTTCCTCCTCCCCTCAGGTACCAGTCCCCTCTCTCCATTCTGTGCCGCTCCCCGTCTCTCAGTGAGATGCCCCTGGGCTCAGTTCTTGGGCGAAGGCCCACCTGCCACCGAAACATCTGCACCAAAGTCCTGCTGGCTGAGGGTAGGGAGACACCTTTCACCCAGCACTGCCGCAGCTATGAGAACACCTACCGGGTGAGTGCTGTGTGTGACAGCTGTCGTGTTGAAGATTGACATAAACTCTTCTGATTTTCTTAACTAGAACAAGATGTAAACAGGAGTTAAGAGAATCTATGGTCATGCATGCAGCTCTGGAAGGATCTACTTAAGAACAACAGTATTTTGAGCTAAATGCTAACAGAAGCATGTTGACACATTTGTTTTTGTTTAACACTTTTTGATACATGGGCTGTATTTAAGAAAGGGACATAGCCACTTTGACACCAATGCTTGGTTTGTGCACCACTGCTTGAAGCCTCACATTGGGCATTTTGGCCGACGCCATCTTTGATTTTTGAAGTCAGAAGTAACCACATTTGCAGCAGAGGGTGCAGAGGTGCTGCTTGTCAACAGGCAAGGCAGGTAACTGCTTGGGGACCAAGACCAGTATGTTATCAACGAATGCTAGGTTAGCAAGATGCATTTGAAGAAAACGCTGGAGTCAAGTTTCATCCTGCCATGAGGAGTCTCTGATCCTCTGTGATAAACACATTGAAGGCAGCAGCGGGACCTCCTGTCGAGTGGGCAGGATGCACTTCACCTGGCAGCTGTACTCTCCACACCTCCTGAGTATCATGTCTTATGTTCAGTGTGTGTGTGTGTGTGTGTGTGTGTGTGTGTGTGTGTGTGTGTGTGTGTGCGTGCTTATAGACTTTCCAGACAGAGATTCAGAACCTGAAGGACCAGGTCCAGGAGCTGCACCGAGACCTCACCAAGCACCACTCCATCATCAACACAGATAAGATGGGAGAGATCTTGGACAGGTCTCTGCACATTGACAGCCAGATATCTGCGCAGCACTCCACCGTGGAAACTATGAGAGTCATGTTTGAAGAGGTGCGTCAAGTGATGGCTTTCGACCTTCAGTGTGTACCTGACTCCGCTGGCCCCGCTCACTACAAACAACATTTCCACATTTGCTCGCAGTCAGGACCTCCTGCTGCATACTAACAAGATCGTTTTCAGACACCGTTATCTGCTTGAAAAGTAAACGAAGGGGAAAGAAAATAAGAAGTGTCAAGGTGTCCCATGAGCTGAATAACTGCAGAGTTTTTGTCATATTTTATTTGGAGAGAATCAACTGACAACATTTCCTCGCAGGTCTGGGATGAGACTTTCCAGAGGGTCTCTAATGAGCAGGAGATCTATGAAGGTGTGTCTTCTAATTAGACCGCATAATTATATTCTTTTTTTTTTGGCTGCTTTGGTTTTAATTTATTTCTCTGTGGGGTTTTTTTTTTTCAGCGCAGCTTCATGACCTGATGCAGCTGAAACAGGAGAACTCTTACCTGACCACCATCACCAAACAGATCAGCCCTTACATCCTGTCCATCGCCAAGGTCAAAGAGAGACTCGAGCCCAGGTGCTGTATCCAGAGGAGATTCTTTACCTTACAGCCTGTCCTAACAGCACATGACACGAGCCTCTGTGACAAAATCAGCTTGATTCTATTGTTTACTATTGAGGGGTCCTAACCGCCTGTAAACGACGCAGTGCTCGGTCGCTCGTGTAGACGGACGAGGAACAAGGAAGTCGGGGGTTAGCTTGTTTTACAAAGTGGAGATAGTGGTGCATGAATAATATCCACATCCATGGTTTAAATGTTGAGCTTTGACTTGGGTCAACAGCGGACAAAAACCTTTTTGACGAGCTTCTGAGTGTTGTGATGTGAGTCAACAGGTCATCAATACAAAGTACCACACATCCTTTTGTCTACCTTTAATACAAAGACACTTGATGTCAGAGTGCAAGGGTAAACTGAAAATACCAAAGCAATAACATTTAACGGATTCCGTGAGCACAGCATGCCTGCGAGCATCTACAGCTCAAATGCTGTTAGGACACAGTGTTATATTTGATGACTGATGAAACTTTTTTAGAAGGAAATGGAAGCCCATGTTTCCTCTTTAGTAGCTCTGATATCGTCACAACCCAGCTTAAGGGAAAGTACGTAAAGGAGAGGAGCACACATGACGTCTAACTGGCTACACGCTAGACAATTTCTCAGATCACAAACAATTTCTCACATTAGAATCCTCAGAATGCGCACACAAGATCATTCAGTCCGACCATGAAACCACACACCTGCCATTTGTAGGAACGATTCCACAGAGACAAGATCTCACAGAAACTAGAGTGATCAAAAGCGACGTCAGAGGTCACTTTTGTCTTGCATGAGACATTATAAGGAACTCGTGTTGTTGCCATAATTCTAGCTTCAGCGTTCCACTCAGCTCGGGGGCACAGTCGTGTGGCGCTTCACAATCTACTCGCTCCGATTGGCTATTACGGGTAATCTTTAGGAGACAGCCAGATCTGGAACCGTAAATAAGAAGGGAGCTCCCGAGTCCGCTTAAGGAGGTTGTCTCAGGCTCGATTCATTAAATTAAAGAGAGATGTAAACGCAACCGTGCTCAAACAAGGAAGTGGACTACAGATGACCACAAACACTGTTCAACACCGTTATTAACGCTAAACTAGTTTCTTCAAAAAATAACCTGCAGCCTGCAGGCGTTATAAGTCTAAAGGATAACACGTATGAACTATTTATTTATTGTCAACAAATCCCATAAAAGACCAAAAAAAAAACAACAGTGAGTTTTTTATTCTCCGTTTAGCTTTTTCCTCGCTGCCTCAGAGCTTCATTGTTGCCAGAAAACAAACCGTCATGGCGCCCCTTTGTTGCTCCGGCTGACATGTTCCTTCATTACCTGTGAACATGGACGATACACTTCATCTTAAGTGAATCCCTCGTACACGGTTCTGCTGCAGTACACACTCACCGGAGCAGCAAGTTTTTATTAATTGCCGCTGAAAGCAGACCAAACAAATGCAAATATGTTGTTCATGATTGTTTGAATCTGCATTCACAGCTGATTTTAGGAGAGGACTGCCTCTATGTAATAAATGTGTTCATTCACACCATTTTAAAGGCATAAATTGTTACATTTAGGATTAGAAATGTCTTAGAAATGACTTTTTGACGAGTTGTGTACTTACTTTACCAAAGTTGTTTTCATAAATAATCAATCCAGAGACACTTGAGTGTGTTTGCATGTACTCCATCCTGGTTTTGATTTTGTTTTTTTAGGTTTTTTTAGGTATCCATATCCTGATTTCAGAAACCTGGAAAAGCCCTTATCCAAATTTTGAGACACCAGATTTTGCTACCTTGAGAACTCAGAAAGAAGTGAGATAATGAGGCATGTGTACGCCTTACACCCTTCAGTCAAACTTACTAACATGTTAATGTGTATTTTCCAGGGTTGAGGAGGTTAAGGGTCACCGTGACGACCGCACACAGACGATGCTGAAAGTCTATGAAGACATCACCAACGCTGAAGACAGCAAAGACAGGTTCTGATCATTTTAATATACATATATACTTAAATACATCTTACTGTATGTTGTATATTAACTAAAAGCAGGTGTGCAAAAAATCATTGGACAGCCTTATTACAAACGTTAGATATCTTTTTTTTGCTCGTGCATTTGAATTATTGACTGCCGTCTAAATATGCAGAGCATTTCTTACAAAAAAAAAAATTGCTTCTCAATTCACATTGTCTATCTGTAGAATCTTCCTACCATGAAAAAAAGTCTCTTTTACTTTGATATACATGTGAGGATTGAAGACATGAACGTTTTAGTAAAATGTCTTGAATCTGAAATGTTCAGTGACAGGTCTTTTATGGAAGCCCTGAGCAGACAAACATCCATACATTTTATTTTACTATTAAAGGTATGGATGCATGTCCTCTTAAGCCTTAGGATTAACTACGCGTACACATCGTGCTCCCTCTAGAGGAATCCTCAAGTAACACGCGTTGCACATACATTTGTCTCTTCTAAGTCATTGAAGGCTGGATCATTTTACAACAAAAACACAAAACATGGTCAAAAGCAAAAGGATCAAAAGACCCAAAGAGGCAACATAACGTGTCGTATATGAAGCATTATCCATCATGATGGTTGAATTTATTTAATCCATGTTCACATTGACAGAGACAACCAGACGAGTGTGACAGAGCAGGACAGAGACAAGAACAACCGCCCGCTGATGCTCGAGTCGGGGGACGGCTCTGTCAAGACAAGTCGCCCGTGCAGGCTGAGGGTCTCCACGGAGACGACCGGCCACAACGAGATGCCTTCATAAAACACCGAATCACTACATTTCTGTCTCCCTGCTCCGGAGCAGCTGTGTGACTTGATTCGACCATAATGAGCCCGGGAGGAAGAAACCAGAGTATGAAACATTTTCTCTGCAGTGTGGAGCTGTCTTCATGGATAGACACTAACTGGACGTGTAAACATGGAGCTCAAAGCCCCCTGCTGTCAGAGGGATAGCCTCCTTGTGCCAAATAACCACCATAAAGAATATGCTCTGTTTGTATTTTGGCGATCTGGACTGCTTGATAAGAAAAAATAGCAATAGTATCATATTATCCTGTATTTATATTTTGGTGTTCGATCCATTTAGTGCCTTTTAAAATGATGAGAGTGATAAGAGTTTGCAGTTTGTGTGGAATAGCTTTTCTCCAGTCTCAATTCTTTCATATTTCGGAGGCTGGAGGTTGGTGATGGATGACTGCCCAGCTCCGATCCCCCAAGAAGATTGTTGAAGCGTTGTGACAGCACAGATGGAGCACAGCAAATGTAATGATGTGTGTGTCAGTTTAGGTGTCAGTGTAGGTCACATGTTGATGTAGCATCTCGTGCACCAGTCCCCTCTAAAAAAAAAAATTAGGATGTGTTTTGTTTTTTTTCCAGGATGTGTCTGCAGTTGGATTTTTTTTTCTTTCTCCCTTGCAGTTTCACATCCACATGCAATAAGTGGGGAAAAAAAAAAAAGAATTACAGGAGAGTGTGAATGTAACTGGCCTTGGCATGACCTCAATATCCTTCTTGTTTCTTTGAGTCCACTCATCCTCGATATACAAGCAGAGCAAGACAATGTGTAGAGAAAAAATGTATGCAACACTTTTAGTTCCTGCTGCTATTTTCATGAGCTGAAATAAATCATCTAATTCCTAATTAATTAAAGGAAGAATGTGCAACTTTTTGATCCAGCAGATGTTGCCCTGAGCACCAGCATGAAACCAAAACAAACTGCTGTTTTAGCGACACCTCGCTATTCTGAATCCTCCGCTCTCCACCAGCGACACACCTCCAACCCCTCTCCCCCCGCGTTCACATGGAGGAGTTTCAGGCGGCGGACAAAATTGTCCTTGGCTCGAGTTGCAGTTGCCTGTAGCCTGCATTGTTGTGTTAGCAGGCTAATGTTAGCACACTTTGGTTAGCTTGTAGCTTCACATTGCACATAATCTAATAAACGCTTACATGACATCCAAATAAGCAGTGAGTATGTTCTTCTTATTTTCTCTAGTTCTTGACTCAAACAGCTTTTATACACAAGGGGAGGAGCCGGCCGTCCCGTCCATGTAAACACTGACCTGACAACAACACAGCCAGCAGGACTCGAGCTTCTCACTCATTGTAGACAGTCATGACTCAGAGACACATTTACACAGGATAGACTGGATTTCTGCTTTATTTATGTGTCAAAGTCACTAAAGTAAACATTTCTGACATACTAGTCTGGCATTATAAATATTTGAAGCCGGCAGTGGCACAAGTTGTCTGGTGTCTGGTCTCAGACCATCTTGAATGTGAAGACGCTGGATGTTGAGGTCATTGGCTGGTTTGGTTACACATGTACTCTTATTTTTAGGACACGTTACCCAAAGAGCAGGTTTAGACTGAACTCTTTGTTTACATAATTTAGGGAGAGTTACAGAGTAGCCCTTCATTGTGACCAGCCTGGGACTAAACTTTGTTTTCATCAAGCTGTTTCATCAGCACGTTAATAATCCACGCTTGTACGGTGGAGGTATTGTCCTGTGAAAAAAAGAAGTGATCATTTACACCAATTTGTGGACAGAGATTAAGAGAAATAAGCCTTTGATGTGTTAAAAAAAAGTCTTGTATTTTTAGTTAGGTTGAACAAAAATTTTAAATGTTGTGTTAATATTTGTGCTCAGAATATTTTCCTCTTGGCTTGCTTCTTGACTTCATTGCACATCAGAGTCAGCAGAATGATTTAAAGCGTTTGCCCTGCAGGGAATCAGCAGGTTGCTTTTACATCCTGTCTCTTCTTTTTCAGTTTATAGATTTGGCTTATTTAATCTCTGTGTTTTCTGACAGCAGATGTAACATATTCGTATTTAGAAAATCAGCTTCAAAGGCCGTAGGGTCTAAAGGAGCTGCCATACATACACGGAAAAATTTAAATTTGAAATGATTTCAGGAAATAAATAGAGCCTTCTCAAGGACTTCTCGCCAGGAAAAAAGAAAGAAAACCGCCTATTTGATATTTTCTGAGTACATTTGAGAAATTAAAGGTGAAACCAACCGAGCTGCTGCAATCAAGGAGACACAAATGGCCCATATTTTCAGGACAGGTAAGGACGATAATAAGGCGCGCTGAAGGAGAAGGTTATTTACATTACACAGCTAAAGTGGGTTGTTTCAAAGACGATGTTTTTCAGGAAATATCGGGGTCACGTCGGCCTTTAGGAACAGTTGTGCTCTGCAGAGGTGTCAGAGGTGCACATTCATTGAAAATACATTTGTGACAGCACGGTAACAAATGGCTGTGCCTCTGCTCTGGTTTTATGTTCTGCCACCCCGCGGTCATTCATCGCGTTCTCCCGTTCATTATTCTCTCTTCCTTCTCGGTCTTTGCTGGAGACGGGAAAAAAACAAAGAAAAGTTATTTTTAACGGCACATTTGGAGATAAAGTTCATCAAGACCATTCTTATATTTCAAAGAGTTAAAGCAGAGCAAACCTTAGCTCGTTTTCGATTAGTTAAACAGCAGGTGACGGACCTCACTTTTAAACTCTCAAGTCTTTCACACAAGTGAGAAAAAAAAAACATTAGAGATAGGAGACAGAGATAAAGAAGAGAAAAACTAAAAGTTTAATGAACTCCAGAGAGAGAAATTGGGTCACAGAAGACATAAAAGTGTGACAGTAGGAATAATACAATTAGAGCAAATAGAGCGCTAAAGATAAAACCCACAAACGGCTGTATAATGAGAGCGGGAATACAGTCATGAGTCTTAATTATGCTTCACATACGTAGAAACTGCTTTTGTCATGTGTGCAAAGAACTGCAATTGGCTCCAAAGATTATGCTGATTTGAGAGAGTTACAGGTTCATATATTTGCATAGATTATAATGTTTGGTCTGTGGATTGTAGCTTTTAAATACAACTGAGGCATTGGGGAGTATTATTGGATGAGGATCCACGGGTTAACACAATAATAATATTGAAAGAAATACTGGATTTTCTTCCATAAGCCGGGAAAAAATATCCAAAAGGTCTCTTTGAAATCTTGGAAACCAAGTGGCAATCGCTGATTTTAATCTCAATCTCTGAAAAATGAAGACAATGCGGAAGTTCAAAATCCTGCAGTTCACCGTGTGTCCACTTGAGGCTGGCTCCAGGAGCACTGGAAGTCCCATACACACCCATTCAAAATAGGCAGCTTTTACTGTACAAATTAACATGTTTACAGCCTGGTACATAAAACGAAATAGGTCTGATTAGGTCATGTCTCGATCGGCACACACTGTACAGGGGCTGAATTTTCTGATAACTCATCATTTTGATTTAATGATGGATAAGAGTTATTCACAACAAGGCGTGTAGCTGACCTTGTTGACAGGCAGGGCCGGTGTAACGGTTTGTCAAGAGGCTTAAAACCTGCCTCAGCTCCAGCTCTGTTGTTATTTTGACTGAAAGTTAGCGTGAGACACCAGAGCTCCCTGCAGTAACAGATGGGTGACATCACTAAGGCTTTGTCCGTTTAATATTTACAGTCTGAAAAAACATGACCGGCTGAGTGGGATATCACACCAAACTAACTTGACCATAACCCCTGATCCCAGAAAAGTTTAAAAAGGATTAGTTTGACATTTCACTTAAATTGCTGTCGTCTCAAGCGAGCGGCCTGGGTTCACATCCCACCTGTGGCCTCTTTCCCGCATGTCATTCCCCTCAGTCTCTCCCTGATTTCCGACTCTATCCACTGTCCTATCTATCCATTAAAGGCACAAAAAGCCCAAAAATAAATCTTAAAAAAAATAAAAAAATTGCTCTTTGTATTAAGTTGAATCAGAACATGTAAAAAAACAACTCTTGTGTCTGTACAGCAACAACAACAAAAAAGGGAATGCTAGCAGCTGGTTAGCTTGGCTGTGATTTTCTATCAGTAGCCCTATTGAGGCTGCTGTTTCAAGCTGCGATATTTACGCCCCTAATCTGAATGTGGGGTAACGTAATGGGGGGATAAAGTGATCCCTCCCTCTGTATCGTCTTCATAATGTAGTAACAGAGACATTACAGAGGCGAGACGGTTTCAGCTGAGCTAGCATGGGTAGCGCAGCGCTGTGTTTGCGTGCATGTCTGACTGTGTGTGTATGTGGAGCTGTGTCCTCTCCCAAAATGAAATGTGAATTCATAGGCTGGGACACGATGGCCTGTACAAATACAGCCTGTACAAATAAAGGCCATCGCAGAATCAATATACAAATACATGATGGCGCCTGAGTTTAGTTACTGTTTTGATGTGTTCTTGCCACATCATCTTGGATTTCAAATCCTGCACAGGAAAATTGCTCCATTGATTTATTTTTAGGGTCTTTTGTGCTGTGAGAAGTTTCTGTGTATTTTTTTCTGTATTTTATTTTAACTTTGTTTAATCTCTTAAGGTGAGGTTTTGAGATAAGCCCTCATGGGTTTCTACCTCACCTGCACATGTGTTTTGTTTTTTATTTTTTTATTTTCTGTTCGATTCTTCTTTCAAAATGTGCAAATAAACTAAACTAAACTAAAGTTTCTGTGTAACACCTGAAGCTGTTCAGATTAGAAAAAGTCAGGCTTTTCCTAGCTTGCTTCATGTCATTAACAGCCAACAGGAAGTGTTTTCTTCAGTGTTTACTTGGTTTCATTTAATTTCCAAAAAAAACCACAAGAACCAAGGGCCCCTTTGCCTATAATGTCGAGGGATTTGTTGCCCGTCTCTGCTGACTGCTGTGGACTGGAGTGGAATCAATTCTGATGCCGTTATCGTCGGTGACAGATGCACGAGGCTGCCTGTGAAAAGGTTGAGGGTTCAGGGAGCTCTCCCAGGGGGACTCGAGATGCTTGAGGCATAAAAATGTAATTCCTGAATCAATTTTCACATATGAACACAAGATAAATCTCTGAGGGTCTTCTTAGCATGACCGTTTCTCGTAGTTTTCTAACTGTTGGTCACTGATCACCTCCGTCAGGTAGGGGAGGGTTTAATGAGATGTTGAGGATATGGAGAATATCTCTCTATCCCTTCATTTACTGAGATTTCATCCAGACTAGAGATTATTTCTTCTATGCACCTTAAACTCGATTATAGATGTGTAAATTAAAGCGTGTCAATAATCTTTATCGCTCACTGACCCCGTGCTGCATAATTAACCCTCGAGTAATCGCTGAGGGTTTGATTTGACCTAGGCAGCACTGAGGGTCAATTTTTTTACTCCCATCCTGTTTGACCTACATGTAGAAGTGTGAGGAAGCACGTGGACTGAAATGTACTTTCTGGAAGTTTAACTTCACAAAAACAAATTCAGTAAGTCTAGAGGTCGCCTACTTACAGAAAAATGTTGATAAATATTACAATAAATTGTTTTGAATAGAGAAAGAAAGGTGTTTTTAAGCACATCAGTGTAATAATAATCATATTAAGGTTTTATATTTGAACACTTTAAAGGTTTATTTCATAGTAACAGACGTCATTGTACTCTTAATATGAGCATAAACAAACTTTTAGAAAAATAAACAGAAGCTAGCGGGTTTTTTCTTGCTCAGTTATGAGGGGAAAAATGCTTCTAACCTCAGTTTGGTATTCATTTCTTGAAGGTCTTGACTTCACATCGTGTTGTAAAAGTACAAAAGCAGGAAGTAGATCTCTAAGGCACGGCGTTTATCGTCATTATTTGTGATTTCAGGCTCTCGTAGGAGAGAAAGCATCCAGTGTTTTAAGTGCTGCTGTGTCTTAAAGCTAACTGGAGCAACATAACAAGGTGAATTTCATTGTAAACAGATCATAAAGAGTACCAGACATTAATCTTAAAGGGATAGTTCAGATTTTTTTTTTTAAAGGTGAGGACGTAGCTGAGGTGTCACAGACGTTAGTCCATGTTCTGCTGTGGATATTTAGCTTGACATGTTTTGGTAAAATCAGCCAACCCATTCAGAAAAATGAATATAACTAAG